CACAAATACACATGCACACGCTCACACCTACCCTAACCATCCACACCATAACAAATTCTAACCCTAAAACCAAGTCTTAACCCTCAAAAAGCCCATTGAAAAAGTAAAGACCTGGCCAAAATATCCTCAGTTACCAAAACCGTCCTCACTCTGTAGGGTCTATGCTTAAAATGGTCCTCACAAAGATATAAGTACAGGAACACACACACACACACAGAGGGATGATCATGGCTTTGTTCCCCAGTCTTTCTGCCGCACCGATGTACACTGGAGTATGGTTCTCTATTTTAATGTAGGATGGGATTTCAGTGCTGTTAGAATTTAGAAGTTAGAATTATTATGTCACCAAATGTCTAATCGACTTACAAGCCTCAGAGGCATCACTGAAAACAATTAGATCAAACACAACTAGGACACCCCAGTAAACCTCCTCCAACACCCTACCATTTGTTGAAAAAGTGAAAAAAAATCCTGGATCCACTCATTTATCAGTATCCACTTCAATATTTAATGGGCTCTTCCTTGAGTAATGCCTTGAGTGTTAACAGTAACTTCTTTATTTTGATGCTTGTTCCTCCAAAAAGTTTGTAAAACGCAGATATAAAAGTCATAATACAGCGAAACCAACCCCTTATTACTTAAGTAATCTTATTTCACACTGTGGTACACATGCTGGATAAATCTCTACAATTGATACAAAAAGTTATTATCCAGTCTGGAACATAACAGGGCTCAGATCCCAGAATTCTCTGCAACAGAGGGTGTTATGAACCTGGAGGGGAACAAGCTGCACAAAGACACCGCTGATAGACTACTAGTCCCTGAGGGCCAGGACAGTCTGCACCACAGCCAATGCTACACATTAACAGTCTTTCTGATGCAAATATCTAGTCTTAGAGTGAACGTCTGTGTGTATGAGGGGGAAAGAGAAAGATACACACACAATCGAAAGGTCATGTGGAAGGAGTGATATGACTTAAGTTAAACTCCCACAGAAAATTTTGTTTTCCTATTAAATTTGCAAAAAGGAATTTACATCTTGGGATATGACCAATGACACACTATAGAGTGTTGAGGACAAAGTGTAGAGCACAACATGCAGTTTGTTTGCATAAACACTTGCATGTACTTTTTAAGATATAGTAGATATACAGCAGAGAGAGGTCACATTAGACAGCGTACAATTTTTTAAACTAAATGTAACAAAAATAAAACGTACATCACATACTGACACTGCTGAAATGTCACAATAAGCGATGCGTCTCTCTGATATAAAGCCTGTTTGTTCCAGATGTTATTACATTGGTCCCCGCCAAAAAAACGTCCTTTCGAAATCCTGTGAATGAGAGCCCACCACAACAGAAGCATCTATCATGGTTGACCAGCACAAATATTATTTATTTATCTGTAAGAAAAGTACCCAAGGTGAAGAAATAATGGGATTCTGGCTGCAACAAAGTGTGTTTCAGTGTCTGTGTATGTATGTGTGTGTAAAAAGTTCAGTTAATGAAAAGGACAGGAGACTAAAGATGATTCTTGTGTTGGCACTGCAGTTATTGTTATTTGGTTGTGTGTGTGTGTGTGTGTGTGTGTGTGTGCGTATGTGTGTGTGTGTGTGTGTACACGTTTGCTTGTAAAACTAACAAGTTACTCCTACTTTGGCAATGGTCTAGCACCTTATTATTTCACCACTAATTATTTGGAGGAGGAAAGAGTCAGCAGTGAAGTAGCCAGATGTTCAGCAGCTTTAAACCTAGGTGGCCATTCCATTATCTAACACGTGTCAAAACACAGACAGGGAGAGGGAGAGTCGGAGGAATATGATTTAACGAGCACTGATAACAAGAGACACACGACAAAGAAGTTTTTAATAAGGCAGGGAGGACAATGGGGGAGAATTTAATGGCGGTGAAAGTGTCACTGGAGTAAAACCCAGGAAAAATCCTTCAATTGGTCAAGGTTGCGATTTACACTTAGCTTTGATGGGACTGTTTAAGGCAGAAAATGTCAGATTTTACTAGAGGAGTTGAAAAGTACTCACTAGATTTGTTTTTATTCAGTTATCAAAACTAATGTCAGTTTTAATATCATTCACCCCTGGTTTGTCAATTTCATACAGGTACATATAAACTCCTATACTCCTTTATATTTAAATTTCCTTAGCATGTAAGGCGAGGACTACGACAAGAGGGAGAAAAAGTCAAACATCTGGAATAATTTCCAAATTTGTAAAGATGGCCCTGCAAAAAGTGTCCCAGAAGAAAACAGGTCTACGATTATGCAAAATCACCTGAAAACTGTTAGCAACACTTAAATCCCCACTAATGCTTATGTACAACACTGAAAACAGATTCGTATCCTAAACCTCTCTCTGCACCATCACACCTTCAAATCACAGCTCACTGAAGCTATGAAGTATATAAACAAATATTGACCTAAATATTTGATTTTTATGAGCCTTTTATATATGAATATATACATAATTTAGTATACAATAAAGGAAGACACAGTTTTCATTTGCTGCATTCTGGCTGTGTTGCTTTGTCTTAAGTAGAATTCCAGCTGGTGATACTGAAAGTTGTAGGAAGGGTTTTGAATTACGGCCTCTGAAACCAGCAAACACCACACAAAAAGGCACGAGGGGGGCCGCAAGTCACTGACAAGGAGAGATTTATAAAATGAGGTATGATGAGGGGGAACAGGGGGCATCCAGGAGACAGAAAGGAGGATGGAAAAGACAGAAGAGGGACAGTAAAGGAGACCACAGAGATGAATTAATGCTGAAAAAGACAGATTAAATCCTTATACCTTTTCTGTAGCTGATGTACGTCTATCTTTTTGTGAGTTTAAATGTGTATGTACATGTGCTCATTACCATTTTGTGTGTTATAAAGCTTAAAATTTCATGTGACTACAGCAGTGGGCAGGGATCAGAGCATATGGTGTTGTGTGTTAATGAAGTTTTCAAAGCACAGATTCATATAGCAGAGATTTATAATCTATGCTTGAAGGCTTGGAGCCCTAAAACCACTGGATGTTTAATCCTAATCCAGGACCTAAAACCTCTGCTGAAGTGCACCGCTGAGTGCATCGCTGTCACATCCATACTGGGATGCTCATTTAGGACGTCCTTATACAGGACCCACAGTTTTAAATCCTTAAGATAACTTGATGGCAACATAACTTGTTGACAATTGTAGCTTTTTCAATCACTTAGACCATCTCACACCTGAGTGAAATGCTGAACAAGGGTTGAACCACACTGCATAAACTTCATGATTAGGTCTGGGAAGGTGTGAAATATTGCTGAGCATGGAAAAACTGCGAGGCAGACAGAGAGTGGAAGAGTCTGCAAGAGTGAAAGTGACAGACGACGACATGAAGAGAGATGAGGCGCTCCATTGAAATCAAGCAGATGCTACTACAGCATCTGTGCAACTTCAGTCTCGCCAGTCTCTGATTCTCTGAGTGATGAATTTAATCAGTGAGGTGTTAATTGAAGCAACTAAAACTTCAAAAAATTCCAATGGCAAAAAACCACATCTATGCTGAGGATGTCTGCTGTTATGCCATCATCTCTCAACTCACTGTGTCTGTGTGCATCGAGAACGAATAATCACAAAATCATGTCTCTGTTAAAAGGAATCTAAATCGTCCTAAATGTCCTGTTTTGACTATTGTCTTGTGTTTCCCTTGACAGACTAAAGCTGCTTATCAATTGTACACTGAATGTGCACATGCTCGGCCTACAAGCAGCTACAGCCCATCGCTAATCCCCCTTGCTCAAAGCCCTGAGAGCCTCTACTCTCCTTCCAACAGTCAAATGCCATGACACAACATTACAAACAAATCCGTAGATCTGTCCATATGGTTCCCATTTCCACTGCTTAAATTTCTATCTCAAAATTGCAAAGATAAAAAAGTTCAAATCTTGTTCTGAGAGAAAACCCCTTTGATTTTGATACTAAGGTCTAACCTACATGACCTGTGAAGCTGTCCATTTCTTTTGCGGTGCTCTCACAACTTTGACAGCAGACAAAGCAGATCCAGAAAACCAACAACTGTCCATAAATGACTGTGCCTCCTGTCCTGTGATCAACCCTCTTTATCTTGCCAGTCAGTCTTTGTTGCCACTATCAAAGCTCAATCTTCCAATCTTGCCTGCAGAGTATAAAACCACTGGCTGAATCAGTAGAGGTGAGAACATGGTGGCAGCTTTGATGGTGGACACACGCACATAAAAGGTTTGATGGGGAATCTTCAGCAAAGCCGCTGCGTCACAAACTGTAAAGTAAACAACCCAGATGGTGAAGCTGCTGCTGCTGATGACGATGATGATGAGGATGATAAGTTGGGGCTTAGGAGAGAATTATGCATGCACATCTCATTGCACATGATCAAGCATACATTAATACTGCTCACACACACATAAATGTGCACAGCATTTAAAAATGACTTAGTGTATTAAATCATCCTTTTAATGGGTCAGAACTATTGAGAAACATTTAGTTTCACGTTCATGTTTTTTTCATATAAAGATTCAGAAGGCAGTATTATTAAACAGAACATTTGCTGACTCTGTAATAAATTAAAATGATTCAGTCCTCCGGGGGCTCCTCTGTGCAAGTCCTCTCCTTCTGGACTTACAATGAAATGTTAAACAGTTGAATCTCCTTTATCCCACAATAAAAAGTAATAGGGTTTTGATTGAAGTAAAATAAAATGCTTCCAAATACAGTCTGGTACAAATATTTCCCAAACAAGTCATTTGTCGAAAAGTGATTCATACAAATATCACACATTTAAACTCATGTCAGGAGTAAGAGACGGATTCAAACTCAACATAGATTTACTTTTACCTCCCTACAGGCAGATTAGTGCTTTTGTTGTTAAAATGATCAAGTTCTCAAGTCCCTCATTAGACCAAACACATGCACTCACTAAAGAAAGTGTCTCAAAACAAAAGAAAAACCTCCACAGCCACTTTTCTCCTCACCTACCTCTGAAAAGCATGGCCGTCCAAACGTAAAACCCAAAGGACCATGCGCCCCAAAACTTGTGGAACCTCATCCTGGCACCGCTCAGTGGACTCTGCCGGCCGCCGGCAGCGGGCTCTCAATGTCGGCTACACAGGTGAAGTGCTCCGGCTCAGTGGCGGTGGTGTGAACATGAGGCTGGAGACAGAGGAAGAGGAGGAGGAGGGAGACAGAGGAAGAGGAAGACTGACAGACCGGAATGAGAGTGGAGTTCAGATAGGCGCGTTCACGCTGCGTCAGGAACACAGTCCCTCACAAACACGGCGCGACGCTGCTGCACGGGAGCGCGCGTCTGAGCAGTGGAGAAATTCAGGCTGCACACTAATACAACACAAACACCACACAACAAAACACAACACAAACACAACACAAACACAACACAAACACAACACAAACACAAACACAACACAACAAAACACACACAACACAAACACAACACAACAAAACACAAGACAAACACAACACAACAAAACACACACAACACAAAC